TGAAAACTGAAACTGAATAGACTAAGACGGGGAAATACTGAGTAAAGAAGAATTTTCATGCAAAGAAAACAGATTATCTGTCCTCTATGTTAACAAAATAATGAAAAAAGTGTTTTCATATTCATGGTAGTTAAAGACAATATATATGAGTCCCATTGTGACACCATACATTGGGCAAAACGTATTCCTTGGAATCCGTGATAGCCGGGGAAGCAATTGAACGAAGAAAAATACCCGAATCGAAATTATTTTCTTATAATCGTATATTCAGTTCAGTTTGTACAACCATTTACCGTGAGCTTTCGTGCGCCGGTGTTTGTTGCTGTCTTTTGGTTGCTCACTAGATGAAGCAATAGGATAAGGACAGGAATGTTGAGGGTAGAGTCGAAGACAAAATAGAGAATGTCGGTTGACTAAGGTTGCACGGAAATTGAGAAGATGCACGAACACCATTGCTTACGACACTCAGCCATATCACTCATGGTCTCCAACCCTCGGTTCCCCATCCATAGAGCCTAACGGGATCTATGTGAGCGAGTTTCCTGGTTAGGGTTTTTATACCCTTAAACCAGGTTTTGGTTTGACCACCCTTGACTTTGTTCCACCCAATACCTGCCTCAAAAAACACCTCGAACCGTGGCAACCTATTTGGTGAAATGCGTAACACATGCCCCAACCAACATATTCTATGGAGGTCGACTACTTGCTCCAGTGGACTACCACGATTACCTAAAACTATTCTCCTCACCTCAGCATTGCTCATCCGGCTTCCCCAATAGATCCGTGCAATGCTGCGTAGACAGCGGTGTTCAAACACCGACAGTCTATCCTTATCCTGCTTCCTTAGTGGTCAAGTTTCTGAGCCGTATAGAAGAAATAGCCGAATTGCTGCAGCATGCACTCGGCCGTTCACAGAAAACCGGATGTCGCGATGGTGCCACAGATGTCTCAAGTTGGCAGTTGCCAACCGAGCCTTCTGTATGCTTGTCGACACTGCATATGTGATGCATCCATCAGGTGAGATATAGCTGCCCGAATAGTAAACTTTTTCCACTTTCTCCATTACTTCCTCAGTTAGTGTGCGGTTGGGTGCTAGACCAACTCAGTCTTGTAGCATTTACACTTTGATGGTGCAAAACTTATAACGAGCATGACTGCGCTGGAACTCAAGTTATCCAGAAAATCTTGTAACTTACTTGGATGTTCACTTAGCAATCCAGTGTATACTGCATACTCCAGATCAAATAGTCTGTCACCTGAGTGCAAATCAATACCTTCATGCTCGAACGACAATAATCGCACATATTGTTGATCACATTTCGATAGGGTAATACACCGTTCTCAAGAGTAATATTCACCGTGGTTTCCCTTCTAGTAACCGAGATCTAGTAACACGAGATCCCATTGGTACACTGATCTGATTTTCTCGAGAAAGAAATTATTCAAAATTTGTACATTAATTTATTTATGCGATGAAATTTCTCACGCATTGAAATTAAATCCATCATCGCTTTCTTTTAAAAGGCTATTGGGTTTGAACCTGGAAGATAGCGATAGGGAGAGCGAGGTATAGTACGGTAAGGTGGGGCGTGACATTCTGCGTATTGCCAAAGTGAAACAGCCTAAACATCTGTCCTGGGGGACAAGTGAGTTATTTGTTCGAATCCGACTTGGGAGGTTCCAGGTTCGAATCTCATTTAGGTTATTGTATTCGCACTATAACCCGCAGACCCAACAAGTTCGAAAAACTTGATTTAGTTATCGGTAACTTTATTCCTCGTAAAACAGAACTCCTTAGTTAACCATATTTAATTAGCCCCGATTCCCTTGTAGAAAGCTGTTTATACCGAACGAAGGTCATTGAATTTCTCGTAACTCAAAATGACTAATCTAGGAACAATTAAAATTGAACATCATCCTGGCAAACGCCGACCTGTTAAACGAATTATGTCACATCGAGATTCATTATTCATTTGATCGCCTTTGGCTCCTGTAAGCACTGTGCTTACACCACCTAATTAGGTGGTGATGGTCAACTCGCTTAGGATGCTATCTGCGGTGTGAATTGGGCCCTTGAATTCCGAGGTTCTTCATCCTCAACCCCGAAAATTTGTAAGCAGCTTCGCTGCCATCAGTTTCAATATCACACCTTTTGCGAGTGTGGTTTCATGACGTTCATCACTCCAAATCCCTGAAGCTTATGTTACCGGATCTACGGGCGAAGAGCAAGTGCTCGTGACTAAAGGGTTCACTTGTTTTGGTGTTCATCGCACAATCATAATGAAAAACGTCGTGTTATGCATATATCGAGAAACACAATATTTTCGTTTGTCTTCTTTTCAGTCTTTGACAACACATTCCTGTGTGCATTGTTCAGCGGGTTTAGTAGCTGTGACGTTTCCACGGTAGAATCCATGGCGCAGAGAAAACAATCAATTTAAGGCATTTTTCCATGAGAGGTGCAACATGATGATTTCCAATCTAGCTGTAGTGGCTTGAGACCAACAGTGTAACATGCTCGAGAGTGTTACCATCTTTGGTTTGCCTGTTCCGCATGCATGCTTTCACATGATTGCAGGCATTGGTTGCTTGGCGCATTCGCTCATGCATCCTTCTCCTTTGTAGCATAGAATCCGCCAGGATCTTTGATATCCTGAAACCGCTTCTTCAGCTAAGTCTTTTATCTTTGTTAAAGTCTCTACCACCTCCGATGAAGTGCTCCTCACTTTAAACGGTGCGTGAGTTCAAAGCTACACCTTTCGCTTGCTAAGCATTTCCGCTTTCAGATACTCTCGAGCATAATCAGGCCACCCCGGTGCTTCCAGGGAACAATATATTTTCCCTCGACTACCCAGTGGTTCTTCCTGATTCATCCTGGACGATCGAGAAACGCGGGGTACTTAGAGATCGGATCGTCATTGCGCATCTAGCCATCAAATTAGCAATTAACTCATATATTGGCGGTTTCATTGCTGTACATGTTTTGGGCGAGTTAGCTTGCATTTTAACGTAAAGGTAATGGAACTGTTTCTAGTCTTTCGGTAAAAGACTCACTATGATATTATTAATCTGCATTTAATCCCACAGTTATTTGATCGCCTCGTGCAAAACAGTGCAGATGAATAGTGATTTGATATCCAGTGGAAGGATGTGTTTTCCAGCCAAATTGATATCGCGAGTAGTATACAGAAAACTAAATGTTTGCCATAAACTGTACTTCGTTCTTATTTTGGTTTTCTCTCTGAGGAAGTTTGCCCCGTTTTCGTGTACTCAAATTCATTTTCATTGCTTCTCACCCAAACAAGTTTTGCTGTATCTTTTCATTTTGTAGGCCGAATATGAACAGTATCTGCAAGATGAACACGCATTTTTACGTTCGCTTGGTTTGCTCAATGATTCCGAGGAGACTTGATGTAGCACTGAAGCGCTCGTCCATCCCTCATTCATAGTTGACTGATTATCCCGTTAGTTTCGATCTTCATGTACAGTGTGGACACTACCCCAATCCTATGATATAATGCACTGAAACAAATTCGAACAAGACAATACATTCTCTCGGTGCGTGATATAAGCAACAAGTATGGTACGAATTTCAAATACAAACTACTGATGAATACGTTTTCCTCCTTCTTCTTCTTCAATGGTTGGTCACACCGGTTGATGGATTTGATGCTGCTTCACCAGGAATCAGGACTGCCTTTTTGTGTGTAGTGAACGGTGTCCATTTAGCTTTTTAGTGCATCTGAAGTATACTCCACTTGCAGATGGACTTACATAAACCCGTAACAGCTCATTCACCCTGTGAAGAAAGTGAAAGCTGTGGAGATCAAAATTATAATCAAAATTCGCAACAGATTTGAGCACCACAGAAATACCGTGAAC